CCCCCCCCCAGTACTATGCCATATACACTTACTACTTCCGCCCAGTCGTTAGGACGCACCGAATTCCAATGGCCTTGGGAAGAAGAAAAAGAAGCAGTAAAAGAAGAAAGAATTGAAGAACGCCCTTTTAAATGTACACCTTTTAAATGCACCATTTGTTTGGGTGGTTTTCGAGCATAACTTTAGCTAGCGGGGCACCTGTTCTTGAGCCAACGTTTTGTTGCTTTTTGTTTAAGAAGTAGATTCCCAACAAATTTGCCGGGTCACGTCCCCACTCAAGAGCAAACTTCTAGGAAGCACTAGTTCTCAGAGCTCTCTCCCCTCTATCTGGCCCGGCTCTGCTACTAGAGAGTGGGGCGCGAGGTAGGCCGTGCCGCGCGGCAGGCGTGTGCAACGGGACTGCCTACCTCCACGGCGCTCCCTGGCCGCGCCGCCGGTCGGACCGCGCGCTGAGCACCCTCTGCCTTTTTGCTTTGCAGCGGCTCCACGGGCTCCGGGATACGCGCGCACGGCGGCCAGGGCCCCGGCGGCCTCGGTGGCATGCTCGTGGACTTGCCCCTGGAGGGCGCCCTTCACCACGGCCACGGCGCGCACGGCGCGCTGGGTGCCTCGGCCAGCGGCTCGGACCGCGCGGACGTGTTCGGCCTGGGCGCGCTGCCCCTTCCCGTCCATGGCGAGAGCTCGCCCGTGCTCATGGACCGCTTCACGTGCGGGCTGTGGGCCTCCTTCGCGCTCGCCTCCGTCTTCGTGGCCGGGACCAAGTTCTACCTAGACTTCCAGGTCAGTCGCATAGCGCCTCCTGGGAGGGTCGCTGTATTGCCACCTGCATCGTGGCTGTGACAGTTTTCTAACTTTCTTTGATTATGTCCGCAGAGCTCCGGCATGGAGGCGATGGTGCTGTCGCTGCTGCTCATGATCTTCCTCATGGTTGGCTGCACGGCCTCTATATGCCGCGCCCGGGTCAACTCCCAGCTCGCGGCGGCCGCGGCGGCGGCCACTGCCTCGGCGCTCAGGGGGGATACGGGCTCGTCCGGCCTGCGCCGGACCCACCTCGGGGACTCCGACGAGCTCGTGGTCAGCGTGAGTACGCGCGTGTCCGGGAGTTGCTCGACGAGGCCTCGACCGCAGTCTCACCCTGTGCTCCGTGTCCCCAGGAGGTGGTGATCGACCGGCCGCCCATGTCGATGGGCATGGAGAACGTGCCCTGCGTGGCGCTGGCGTCCGGGCAGCAGACCCAGCAGCACCAGCTGCTGCAGCAGGTGCAGCAGGAGCAGCTGGCAGAACAGCAGCTGAGCACGGAGCCGCCGCCGCCCTACCACATCGCCATGCTGGACGAGCAGCCTCCCCCTGCCTACGAGAAGGTCGTCACGTAGGTGACCCCGGCCCAGGCTGCGGGTGCTCCGGTTGTGATAAGTCTTCCCCTGGTGACCAGTGTCGGGCCGGCCCTCTAAGTCACACTCGCCAGAAGAACTTTCTGTGGCCGCGAGTATTCGAACACGGTGCCGTCAGAGTTTGTCAGTCATCGCTCCTCTTCTCACGACACCCAAGTGTCGCATTCGTGTTCAAATACGGGAACAAGCGGGGCGTGATCCCTCGATTTCTTCCCTTTTTTTAAGTTTATTGTATTTTTATCCCCCTGGCTCTCCTCTCCGCTTGTCCTACCCCTGCCTGTGTTGTTGTTCTCGTTCTGAGCGAGAGGGGGAGAGGCGCAAAGTTCACACCCCTGCAACATGCAACACCCCCCATAGCTGCCTGCGTGCAGCGCTAGTATAAACTGTGATTTAGAGTAAGAATTTAGACACTTTTT